ATAAAAATAATGCAATATCATCTCTGCAAGTTTCACCTTTCCAGTAGCAGGTAGTATCACCTCCTACCTCCCCAGAGCCAACTGTCTGATAGTTCCCAGATTCTGCTGTCACCACCACATGCTACCTGCCGCCATCTCTGAAACGACCGCCCAAAGAATCATACTTTACTGGCTTGGGTGGTATTTAAGATGTGTAGGCAACAAACAGTGCTGCGCCCGGAAAACCGGAAAGGAAGAGTTGAGTGAGAAAGCGGAGGGGGTAGACAGGCCCTTTGGAGGAATGCTGGCCACTCTTCCTTAAGCCGGCTCATAAGGCTTGAGCACTGCATTCTCCCCTCCCGAGTGGTGCTGTTTGGTTCTGGCCATGCCTGGTGGCCTGCCATGTTGGATTGTACAGCCAGGGCTGCTGCAACCCCCAGATGACATTTCACAGTCTCCTGGGGAGTTGCAGCCCACGCGTTGGGAAACCATGCTCTAAATACTTAGAATCTTTATAAATCTGTACAGCCAGTCTTTGTTAGTCCATCAGCCATCATCACTGTCTGTAATTTTCAGTGTTAGCACAGTTAGTGATAATTTGATTAATTAATTGATTAATTAATTTGATTAATTTGCACACACGGACACAAATCTTTCTCATTCTTGTTGCCTTATCATGAGTGTCACATTGTGTCTTTGTTCTTGAGGACAGCATAGATCAGGCTTTACATTCATATAGTATGTTATAGCACATTTGAAACAAGGTTATGTTCATATTTTCAATACTGTTTCCATGGAACAGATTTACAAGGGGTCAGAGTTTCGTATACAGATTTACTTGCTTGAATATGAAAGTTGAAGCCAATTCGCTGGCCATAGAAAATTCAACTGCAGCACTTTACCATATGAAGAATGGTTGACACTTCCCAAAACATAATGATAAAAATTCCATTGGTGAGAAATCACCCAAACATAAGAGCATGTCTGCATTCCAGGAAAAAGCAAAGGATGTAACACAGGCTAGTATTAAGCTGTGATCTGTCGCCAAGAAACTGAAAGTTAAGTTTTCACATAGAGAGGCGTCATATCTATCCTGCATCCAGTTAAGACAGGACGGTGTCATGGACCAGCTATCCCATTGTCGATAGAAAGATAGAGCTAACAACCTGCAGCTTTTTGTTTCACGAAGCCCCAAATGATTTAACCAGAATATTTCTAATTCTTTCTCTCTTTTGTACAGTCCATATGGACAACAAAGCTCACTTCTGCATTCTTCTGCCTCTGATATTGGAAGCAATAACTGATTGATTACTATGTACAGTAAATGTTGACATCACTTAGACATGAAGGAAGATCCCACAAAAATAGTTTTTCTTTCCGTGCATCTGCGGAGTTTGTAAATGGAGGTCATCGTTAAAAATCTTTTCATAACTTTAAAGCTACATGACTAGCTGTTTACATAATTTCATAGTTTTTCATAATATTGTGTTTAAGAAAGTGAAAAATAATATCTATCTAGCTGTCTGGCTGTCTATTCAAACAGCACAGCCAATGGAACAGTATAAAAGACAAAAATTTTTCAGACATATTAAAGAGTAATACTTCTTTTTGGTGCAAGCTTTCATGAACTCTGTCTCACTTCTTCAGATGAGGAATAAATAAAAGGAGTATATCAAACTTTCAAATATTCAAGAAGAACTAAGTTGAACTCATACATTAAAAGTAGTTTTGAAGGAATTAACACAATGGAAATAAAATTTGTTATCAACTTCTGATGTTTTGTATCATTTGGCCCTAAAGATTTGAAAAAAAGAATGTGTGGATTTCAGATGGCCTAGTGTTTGGTAGTCAGTGGCATAGTGCCTCTGAAAGTAGATGTTCTACCCATAACAATCATTTAATGTGGAAAAGAAATTCTTAGGGCTATTATTTTGCAATGAAGATGTCAGTATTGGATCTGAGACTGGAAACAGGGCAAGGTATGTCTTGCTGCAGGAATCTGAATTTTTGAGGCTTATGGTTCATTTTGGCACAGAAAAACATGCACTACTCATGCAAACACTTGAAGAGTACATAGACTAAAAGTACATAGATTGCACAATCACTGATGTTGACTTCAGACCTATGTGCTCTGATATGCATTCCAAGGTTTTGCTTCCTCCTATTACAACATTTTGCTAGGATGTGTCCACACTCAGTGAAGAATAGCTAGCACCAATGATACAAAACAGGGGCTAGGAAATGTAGTGGTGTCATCATCCCACAAAGTAAGTGTTCTGATGCAATACAGAAAAGCAGAGGAAGAGAGGGGGCCCTTGTCTGTTTCAAGTGCCAGATCCCCTCCTAGACCATGGTGTCCTTCTTCATTCTTTGATAATGCATTGCTCAATTAACTGTAAAACTGAAAAATGTGTGTCTTTTTTTCCTTTCAATCTCTTAGGATGCAGAATAGAGAACTGTGATTCTTGCTTTAGTCGAGATTTTTGCACCAAGTGCAAACCTGGGTTTTATCTCTATCGAGGCCGTTGTTATGGAGAATGCCCTGATGGCTTCACATCTTTAGAGGAGACTATGGAATGTGTAGGTGAGTGCTGGTAGAATATTTCCACTGAGTCAAGTCTCCCCACAGGGACCTTTCCTCACATTCCTCCGCCTTAAATTGCAGTGCCTGTGTAACTCCAGAGAGTAGCTTCTGAAGTTATTGTCTGCTTGTATGAATAGGTTGTGTAACATACTTTCATGGCCCAAGACTGTTCACTAGTAACAGTTCGGATGCCTTCCTTGCTTTTCCTGAATAAACAGTAAATAAATTAGGGAAACATTCGGAGTTCACAAAATGCAGTGCATTTTGTGCATTTTGTGCTTTTTAATTTTTCCAGAACTCTTCCTCAGATAAAAAGCTAAAGGGAAAAAAGCGGATGGTTGGGAGTGGGTATCTAGTGCCTTAAAATGGAGACTCAGTTGAAGTTTCAGATACACAAATGTTTATTTTTCGAAATGAGCTTCCAGACCACTCCAGTCAGCATAACTATTTTTCTTATTTCTGCCAGATACATAGATGGGAATCTCTTATGTTTTCTTGCAAAGAAAGCAACCAACAAAAACGTTGATTGCCTATTTTTTTTTCAAAATATGACATCTGTCTAATCAGTGCTTTTGAGTGTTTTAGGGGATGATCTTTCAACATTCTGCCAGTTGGTTTTTAAGAACTAGAGTTCGTCAGAATTCAGCCCTCTTCAGTGACACTAGTTAGATCTCAGAGTGGAAAGACGGATGCAGCTTAACTTTTCAGCACAAACATGCACAAGTCAAATCCAAATGTTGTGCATATAAGGTTTGTGCAACTTGTCATGGCTAATTGCAGCTAATTGGGAAGGTCCCAGGGTGCATCGTGGTAGTGTGTGCCAAATTGTGCAATGACAGTGCATCTCACCATGTTAAAAACTAGTTGCACTTGGATGTCACAATTTTGTAAATGGAAATAGCAGTAGGGCTCTGGGGAACAAAGGCACATGCATGAATGCCCCTTCATCTCCTCTCCCCTCCCCTCCTCCCCTCTTTCCCCTTTCCCTTCCCTAATATGTTTGCATGTATTGCAGACATCTATCTATATACAATTTGATCATAGCAGAAACTACAGAGAAACTGCTTAAATAACCTGGGGAACAAAGGCACATGCATGAATGCCTCTTCATCTCCTCTCCCCTCCCCTCCTCTCCTCTTTCCCCTTTCCCTTCCTTAATATGTTTGCATGTATTGCAGACGTCTATCTGTATACAATTTGATCATAGCGGAAACTACAAAGAAACTGCTTAAATAACATCTTTGCGCGTGTGCGCGTGCACACACACACAGGCACACACACACACAGAGAGAGAGAGAGAGATGGATTGGAACTCTGATTATCCCTCCACATCAGCAGTTCTAACTGGGATGGGTAGGACTTACTGTCCAACACCATCAAGAAAGCCACACATTCTCCATCTGTGCTTTACTCTACTTTCCCTCCTTTCCCCACTGCTTCTGTATCCATGATTCAAAACACGAGGAAATGGCCTGATATTGCTGCACAGTATCATGCCCAAGCTGCCAGCAGGAAAAAGGATGCCAAGCTTTGCATAGCGAAGGGCAACGTGAATGTTGACAACACCAATGGCTGCAGTCAATATGGTCTACAGCAGTGTTTACTAACCTTGGGTCTCTAAATGTTCTTGGACTAAACTCCTAGAAATCCTGGCCAGCACAGCTAGTGGTGAAGACTTCTGGGAGTTTTAGTCCAAGAACATCTGAGGACCCAAGTTTGGTAAACACTGGTCTACAGGATACCTTCTTGTGCTCACTAGCCTTGTGCTAACTAACCATTTCTCACCCAAGCACAAAGCAACTGTGATGGCTGTTTTTCAACAAGTATTATTGATATTAAACACAAGAGGATATGGAGGATACGAACATTAGATTGACAGAATTCCTCCTTTTCATCAGCCGCTAGAACAATTATGCATTTGTTCTATGTAATCCAATTGTTGTTATTTTAAAACAACATTAAAAGAATTCTCTTACCGATGGTCTAAACTTAGTGGGATATGAAGATAAGTTTACAAACTCACACATTATTTGGGTGACTGTTTAGTGCATAAATGTGGTGGAAACAAATAATGTGCTATAATAACGTTAGAGTAATGCAGTTCATCTTCGTACCATTAATCCACTGAGAATAATCTGATGGCTTTTCTCCAAGTAAATTGTAAAAATGTTGTGAAGCTCTCTGGTGTTTAGTTGTTTTGATTGCCTTTGCATCTTAAAAAAGAAAATGTTTTGAATTATCTTCTTCAGAAAAACAAATTTAAAACCTAAACAGTGTTGGAGTTGTACTTAGGTGACTCCAAGGTAGACTGAAAACCAATATTAGCAAGAACTGAGGAGAATGCTTTCAGTGCATATGCTTGGGTGCAGGATCTGAGAATATGGTGTATAGATTAATTTGTAAGATATCCAACCCTTCCCAGTCCTCAAGCACAAATGTGGTCGAATGGTAAGGGCACTGGACTATGGCTTGGGAGAATCAGGTCAAAGTATTTTCAAAGGCATCAGTCTCACTGTGTGACCTTAGGCTGACTCATTTTCTCTCTTAGCCTTCCCTGCCTTGCAGAATGATTATGACTTGAAACATGAATTACTTTTTGGAGTAAAATGGCCAGATTTTCACAGAGCGCATGGTCAGTGGAACATGTTGATTGGGGGTTTCTGAGAGTGGTTGTCCTCAAGCTATAACTTTTGTGTGCTCTGGAAGAGATCAGATATTTGCATAATTCAAAAATTAATCAGAAAACCAGCTTGACACAACTGGCATGAAAATAACAGTGTGGCAGACGAGAGAGGATGATGGAAAGAGTTCATCCCAATAGGTATTTCACTGTCCTTCTGACATATACCAGGATTTATTTCTTGGAAAGATTTTTTTTCTCTCCACTTAGTGGCGGCAGGGCTAAATAAGGTTAACCTGTGGAAATTTCCTTCAAGTGTCATTCACCTTTGACTGAATAATAAAATCAGACATTTCTGAAGTTTGAGTTTTTTTTCATACCCCTTCACTCCTTCACTGGCATGTATTTTGGAAGAACTACATGGAGTCATCGAAAGAAGGCACTAATTCATTATGTGTGTCTTTATTGGTTCCCTCAGAAGGCTGCGAAGTGGGCCCATGGAGCGAGTGGGGAGCTTGCAGCAGGAATAACAAGACATGTGGATTTAAATGGGGTTTGGAAACGAGAACAAGGCAAATTGTGAAAAAGCCAGCGAAGGACACAATACCATGCCCAACCATAGCAGAATCTAGAAGATGTAAAATGGCTCTGAGGCACTGTCCAGGAGGTAAGCACACAAAATGGCAGTACAGTATTTATCAGCTTTTTTTCCTCACTGTGCTTGTTTTTTTACAGAACACTCGCTCTTGTTTTTTGGGAAATAAGAGAAGCTCCTCCACTCTAGTACCATCTTAGTCTGTTGCCCCACAAGTACTGAAAAACAGCCCACAACTGTGTGTGGAGGGTGCATTTTTAGAGGCCGTGAAACATACTGTATAGAATGTTTTTCTGTAATGATGTAATATAAGACTGAGATTTTAAACCCAAAACTGTTCCTGAGGGTGACGTCAAAATCCTTTGCCTTCTGGGTATGCTTTGTTCAAACTTGTAGAATCTTCCTTTACCAACTGGGGTTAGAGACAATATGAGAGGTGTAAGGTGAGGGGAGGCCATACATTTAGCATTAAGAAACTGGATGTCTTTTGGTTTTCATCGCCAAAAAGAAATACTGTAACTGGTCCCAGGTAATTTATCTCCTTTAATTTCTTATTTTGGTGTGTAGGTGTAACAAAGTAATACTTAAAAAAATAACATAATGAGTAGGAACAAAGTTACTTTGTTGGTACAATGAATAATCTTTTCTAGTGACATCAAAAAGTTCCGTTTTTAAAAGGGCATTTTGAGGAATTTTTAATAGGTGTTTTGAGAAGAATCTTTCAAATTTATAGCATTTTCTTAAAGCAATGATTTTTGTTTAAAAAGTGGAACACAGCTGAATGTCATAAACAATGGAAAAAGTAAAACAATGGCATTTTAACATTGTTTGGAGTAATGGTGATGGGCAACTGTCAAACAAGTTTGTGTTATGTAGCATCAGGATGGCTGTAATAGGGCTTTCAAAGTAAGTGTGATATTTAAGGAGTAATTATACCAGTTACACTCCCTTAGTGAGTTTCCATGGCTGAGTGGGATTTCCAACCCTCTTCTCCAGGGTCCTAATCCATCATTCTATCCAATTGCAACAAGTGATGAGAGCCAGTTATTTCAAAAAAACAATTAACTCTCCAAGCTTTGGAATTTATATACAAACTCTTTCCAGTTTTGATTCGTTTTAGCAAGTTGTTTGGAATAAGAGCTGGTGCTTGTTTCTACTAGTATTAAACAATTAGCAGTCAGAAAACCTTGCTGATTTACTTCAGATTGCCCAGTGGTGGTATACTGGTGAGTTCTGTCCAGCCTTACCATACAAGGTATGCCCAGCCCAATTCAGAGTGCTTGTTTTGACGTATAAAGCCCTGGATGCCTGAAGTACCACCTCCTTCCATATAAGCCTACCCAGCATTTAAGATCTAGCCAGGGGGCCCTCTTGAAAGAGCCGTCCCTCAAGGAGGTAAAAGGGATGGCTTGTAAACAATGGGTCTTTTGGGCAGCTGCCCCCAGACTATGGAACACCATCCCGAGGGAGACTCATTGATAATGTTTCAGTGCCAGGTCAAAACATTCCTGTTCCAGAAGATTTTTAATTGAAATAGTATGAACTGTGGGTCCTGATGGCAATTTTTAGAGTACTGTATTTGTAATTGTATTTTAATTGTTTTATCTTTTTATTGCATTTAAATTGTTGTAAGCTGCCCAGAGACCTTTGGGTAGTGTGGACGGCAGATAAGTTAAACAAACAAACAAATAAACATACATATACACATACATACATACAGTACATACATATAATCACACATTAAGTATGCTTAACTTCAGCAGTACTTCTTTCCAAGTACAGAAGACCCTTGACTTACAGACGGCTTGACTTACAGACTTTTTGAGTTACAGACTTCTCTGGCCGCAAAATTTAGGTTTGACTTGCAGCCTGAGAATTGACTTACAGACCAGAAAAAAACCAAAAGGGAACAAAAACGGCCTGTTAGGGGATTAATCGGTTTTCAATGCACTGTAGGTCAATGGAGACTTGACCTACAGACTTTTTGACTTGAGAACCACCTTCCAATACGGATTAAGTTCTCAAGTCAAGACCCCACTGTAAGTGTACTGTATATAAGGTAGCAACAGTCTAGAAACAACCACATTTTCAAGTGCTGAAGATTGCACCCTGGACCCAGGTAACTTCTCCATCGAACCAAACTTGAAGTTCTGATTTAGTCAGATGTGGTTATCTAAAAAGGTGAGGGCTAGCCAGGTTTATCAGCCTCTCACTTTTCAGGTAGTAACACAGTTTCATAGTTAAAGAGATGACAAACAAGGTATGACTGATATGAATGTGTGTGGGCTCCATGTGCTTTAAAGTGTGGGTAATTAAAAGTGTAGCAGGTGCCTACTAGAGATGGGCATGAAGTGCTTTGAACAGCGGGCTCATCTCCTACCCCCCTCCCCAGTTGGCCGGGCCATTCACTGGATTTTGCATGCTAACAAGATCCTTCTTCTCCAACAGTGCTCTAGTCCAGGCAGGCACTCAGTTAGCCTTTTCCTGCCTCCTCCAGCAACTGACCATTCACTGGAGTCCAGGCAGGCACTCAGTTAGCCTTTTCCAGCAACTGACCACTCACTGGCTACATGGGGAAAATCCCCATCTGGCCACCTTGTCAGAATGCTCAGCTGCTGGAGGAGGTGGGGAAGAGCTGGCCCAACTTCTGACCAGATTGGAGCGTGGCTGGAGAAGAAGGATTCTGGTGTTGCACAAAGTCCATTTAGTGGCCCATCTGGCCAGGGAGACTGGCCAGTACAGCGCATGTGATGCTACACTGACAACTTCATACAAAGCTGTACGAAGCACTTCATTCCCATCTGTGATATCTACTCTTTGCTGCTTCCTATGAGAAAATGAAATTAATTACTGCTTGACTTTATCCTTGACCTACCTAAACTTGCAGTATCTTTGTGTTAGACTATCTCTGGTCACTCTTGTTAAGAGCAGGGATGGAGGTCTACGTGGACCTCCAGAATTGTTTGAATTACAGTTTCCATCACTCTTAGGCAGCATAGCTACTGGCTGGGTATGATAGGCGTTGTAGTACAAAAAAACAGCTTGAGGGCCACATGTTCCTCTTTTCTGGTAGAAAGGAAATGCAGGAAGTAAGTGATAAGGAAAGTATTATTTGATGACTTTAACAGCTCTAATCTCCATAAATATCTGTTAAAAATGATGAGGATAAAATCTCTGTTCCTAATATTCTCAGTCTACGTATTCACAGAAACATGTGGGCTAAGTATTAGATTATATAACCAAAGACAGTCATAGATTGTGATGGATTAAACTCAGAACAGGAAGCGAGGATATTTTTGGTGGGACAGGGTCAAGCATGTGCGCTTTTGACATATGCTTTCTATTTCTGTTCATTTTGTTTACATTTTATTGTCCTATTTATGTGGTCTGCCTTAACACACAGGGACCCACTCTTGCAGATCTGCGCTGGAGGAGTGGGCATAGCTCTGCGCTTTTATATCCATCCTTAATTGTAGATTGAGATCACATTCTTCCGTTATGTGGCTTTGTTAAGAATTAGCAGTTATTCCATCTCTTTTGCTTCTATGTATGGTAGTACAGCTACAAGTGCAAAATGACTTCATGTTGCCATCATTCTTTTCTATAGGGATGCTGAGGGCAAACTGTGTGTTTTACAGACCATGCTATCATACCGTCGATGTCTATTATGTTTCCTGCCAGGCTTCCAATAAAGACCCTCTACCTGTTCAGCGAGGTTTCCAAGCATTCTTTCATCTCTAACATCCAGATTCTTTCTGGCTTCCTCACTTGAACCCTGCTTTGAATTTCCTCTCTTGTGCTTCTAGAAACCTTGACACATAACAGCCACAGAGAGGAGAAATTATGGTATTAGTAAAGTCACTGTCTAGTATGGGTTCATTTCCCAGACCCATGACAAAATATTAAAGGAAGAATAATAGAAATAAATGACAGCTCAGTAGCTTAAGTCAAAGTTGGGTTCCTTCCTTGTGATTGGCTGGACTCGATGATCCATTGCGTCCCTTCCAACTTTGCAGTTTGAAGTTTATTATTATTTTCATTAAATTTGCAAGCCTTGTTACCAGAGGTGTGTGAAATATTCAGAATTTTGAAACATTCCTTTTTTTTAGGCTACGGTTCCCAGAATCCATTGCAATGGGTCATATTGGCTGGGGCAGTGGGGGTGAACCTTTTTGGGCTTGCATGCCCAAACTGGGGGAAAAACCCAGCGTGCAGTGATGGCGGAACTGGAAGTAGTGGCAGAAGGGGGAATCGAGACCCCACTCTGGATCCACTGCCAGTGCCAGCTGCTCCAGATCCACCTGCCAAAGCGCTAGCACAGCGGTTGCAGCCGCCTTCTCAGGTTTGGCTGCGCGCGGGGGGGGAGTAGCAATCTGGCGACTTGTGGCTCATGTGCCAGCAGAAAGGGCTCCACGTGCCAGCTGTGGCATGCATGCCATAGGTGGTTTGCCATCACTAGGCTGGGGAATCTTATTGTTTGAAAAAGTAATTTTTCCAAGTTTTTTGGTAGTTCACACTATTGAGTTACTTTTAAAATTGATTTTCTTTTTTTTTTCTGAACTGAATATGGAGTCTGACATAGTTTTTGGTTAAAAATCCAGAAATGTGTTCTTTGAAAGAAAAGAAAAAAAATGTCTTTGATAACATGCACATGTTCAAGAAGTGACTAAAAATGCTACATACAATATGTAGAAAGTACACAGAGTGCTTTTTTTTAAAAGAGGCTGTATGTCCTTTAATGCATTCTTATGAAAAATAGATTTTTTTTACTTGAACTCCCACCCACCCAGAATAGACTTGGGAGAGGGAGAGAAAAAAAGGAGCCCCATGGAAATGGTTTGACAGATCTGCCCATCCCAACACGTTCCATATATTTGATTTGGGGGATTTTTTTTGTAGGTGTCTGCTGCCAGACACTTGAATGTCTTAACCAATCAACATTCCCACCTTGCATGCACATAGTTAAGCTATACTATAGATCCAAACAGTAGAATTCCCTGCTAAAAGAGCCATTCAAGTTGCTTTCAACTTGAATGGTTCCAAATGGGAACTAGTTAAAATCTCAGAGAATG